GTCAAATGGTCCAATAAAACAACTAAATCGCTGATCTAGTTGGGAGGACTACACGGTAGACACCAACCTGAAAAATACCACAAAATACTAAAAAAAAAAATTCCCAAAAGGAGAATAGCAAAAGCTCCTAAAAGGAGAATACACTGTGAGCAACTACTGTCACAAATATGAACTTTCATTAGAAAATGTCGTACTCTAAAAAATACTAAGATTAACAAAAGCACATTTGATAGTATAACTATACATTTATGTTCACATTGTATGGCAATTTGACCTGCCTAACGGTTAGTCCTACTCATAAAAATCTGGGTTCTACAAATTGCACCTTCAAAAGTGGGACATTTTATATACCCAGTAACCTCAAGGGGTTATATTGTCCAGAAACTTCAAGGGTATGAGAGAATACTTGCGATCAAAAGGACAATATTTATTAAAGATGATTATATTATGTTATATACCTTTTAGTTTATATAATTTACAAGAAACAGAATGCCTTAAGAATATTAATCCCACTGTTTCACCTAAATGAAGATTCATTTATAGTCTAGTTACAAGGTTCGTATATTAATCAAATAAATACGATCAATCAGAGATTAGAGGCTACCATATCCGGTTTCTCTGGTTCTGTTCAAATCACTAGATGTTAAATGTAATGTAATGGATTCCCCATATTTTATATATTCTTGCTCCTTAGTAAAACTTCAAGTCAAACCTGACTAGTGACTAGTTCTTCTCAGCATACCACTAATAAAACAATAATACTACCACATTAACTCAAATGCAATTGTTTCTCATGCATCAAAATTAATTGTGAGCATAAAATGTATTAACTCACAGATCCTTTCTGGCCAGTTAACCTCCGACTCGACGGGGCCCGCGCAACTGATGAAGCAGCAGCAGCTGCCGCCACACGTATCCTGAAGAAAAAATTCCTTAGGCGTTTTCATCCAAAAACACTATGCACACTATAATTCAAAGACTCCCAAGTCTCTTTTACCTTTTATGCACATCAACATATTCATCTGTCTCATCAACTATTTCCTCCTGCACTCAAAAGAGCCAATGATAATACATAAACAAGTAATAAATATAAAATACATAAAGTAAAATAAATATAAAAGAAACACGCACACACACACACTCAAACAAAAGGTGAAAAAATTGAAAAAATAATCAAAACAAATTGTCGGGAACAATTAGCAAAAGGCAAAAATAAAAAACAAACTGGTAAACATGGTAAAAAAATTTACCTGCAAAAGTTCTTCAAATACATCTTCTAAGGTGATAATACCGATAACTTCACCATCCTCAGAAAAATCCGATGCAAGGAGCAATCCATCACCATGCACCAGGTTGTGTTTGGACGGCGGCCTCGAGACCCTCTCTATGTCCACGACAATGTCCTCAGCCTTCATTTCTTTGTTCGAGAGCAAAGGTATAGTTAGGTCCGAATCTCCCTTTTCACTCTCGTTGGGTTTTTCCACAATAGACGGAGGCTTCCGTATTCTCCCTTTCTGCCTCACCACAGCCGCCATGTGGCTGCCGCCTTTTTGAAACTCATTGAGTATGTCGTAAAGGGGCATATCTGCAGGCACACTGGGCGGGAAGATTGTAAATAAGTAATTCTTTCGGTAAGGATGGTTTTAAAAACCTTTAAAAGGTGAAAAAGGTCAAAATGACAGACTTATTTGGACAGTTAAAACAGTTGAAAGGAAAGAAAAAGTTTTCAGATTTTTCAAATGAGAATTTCTGCAGCTTTGCCGAAGTAGGAGAAAGGGAATTTTTGTCCAGGGAATAAATAGGGAGCATATTTGACATAAATGTCCTATAGTGCTTCATTTAATATAGAAGTTCTAAACCAGTTTATGCATAGGATTAGCAAAAACAAAAATCTTCATCTTATTCGACAAAAGTTCAACTATTAGCTTCAGTTTGCAAACAGTTTTCACTTTTGATACAATAAAATATTTTACTTTAGAAGGACAATATTTACGCAAACACTTGTATTGATGAATCTGTTATTCATAAGCATGGGGAAAAACTGAATTCCAATACCGTGGAATTCTCCGAATAGAAACAGAACTGACTGGGGTCTCTGTTTCAGCTCTCACCGTGAGAAGACTCTTTACCTGACGATAGAAGTGATATAAAAAGGGAAAAACATGTAATATCTTTGCACATGCAGTAAAGTGTATAATTTTCAAGAGGTTTACCAGTAAAAGCCCAATAATGTTCTTGGGGTTGCCTGAATATACAGGAACTCGACTGTGGCCACGAGCAAGAATCTTGCCCATTGCTTCCCTGAGAGGAGAAACTGAAGGTAAGGTCTACCTTTAACTAAAAACTACGAATCAGATCGAATAGAAACTCGTGCGTAGACAATAATGAAGTGTGCTTTTATTCTTTTCGGGATGAGAAGGTACATAACTTTTTACTAAACTCATATCCAAGAAGAAAATAACTATTTACTGAAGCAATAAAAACAATATTGATTCTCGAAAAAACACGTTAAGGGCATGAAATAGCATCAAGTAACTCAAACTAAAGATTTTTATAGCAAAAACTGCATGGCATGCCTCCGAAAGTGGAACCTTAGAAGTAAATTCCGTTCAATATACTCAAATTTGAGAAAGAAAGAACACAGTCTAGAAATTTTTTATATTTAACATGAAAATTAAGGTGAGTAGGCTACAAGATACAAAAATTGCAATCCTGTATAACTTCCAGCTGGATTACTTTGTCAACTGACAAGAAACTGTTACCAGTCTAATTTGGAATTGACATCCAAGGAAAACGTCGACTCAATCGGGGTCATGGCTTCCTCAGCAGTCTGGAGAACAATAAGTTGATAACGAAAATATATATCATTATAATAATTAAAAAATACGACTGTAAGATACAGCACAGGATCAAACTAAAGATCCATTAATGTTATGCTCGCTTCATTAGATTACAGGTTAAAAAAGCAAAAAATAAAATGTAATATTGGTCCAGAGCTAAACTTGGGGCAGTGAAAAAAGGTATACACAAATTTCAATCGCCTGTGTTGATGCAGCAGCGATGATCAAGAAGATTAAATAACTGGGTTTATCCTGATTAAAGGGAAAAAAAAAAGGAAATGAGAGAGAGAGACATCGGGTGATCAAAGTTCCAAACTTACCTTTTCTGTCAAATCTAGAGCTCCACTAATAATTGTTGTCTCATCATGTGTGAGTTCACCACCTTTGCCAGCCTACAACCAAAATGATAGCTTAACAGTCCAATATAAAAAACTTCATGCACCAAAAACCACAAAAACAACAGAGAGACAGTACATGTTATTAAAAGTGTATAGTTAGTTACCTCTTGGCTGTGGATAGAGACAAGAGCCTTCAGCTGTGCTCGTCTAAAGAGTACCTCATTATGTCCCAAAACACAATCAAGAATCTGAATGCCATAAATAACACTCATATAATTGGTAATTTCAACGTAAGTAGTTACATGATAGAAGATGAAATGACATGACTGAAGTATGTTGCTAAACGGTTCAAAATTACAGAGAGGTTAACCGTAACCCCCAGATATTGTTTGCATACCCTTTTACTTAAAATTCAATTTCTTGACTTTCAACAATATTAGCATTCCTCAAACAGTAATATTTCTTTCTATGCTTGAATTTGCAGCAACTCGTCGGTTTTCCAGAATATTATCAGAACTTTGGCCGATCAAATTCACAAAACATGTGCAAAGATAATTCAACCTTGGTGACGCATAAATTACCTTTCCAATAGGATAAGAAATAGGATAGCATACAACCATCAGTATCCGGACGAGCCAAATAAAATTTGCACCCACAGCAAGTCCATATCGAGTGCATATGGCTTGAGGAATTACCTGACAAAATTAGAGGAAAAAAAAAATCACTTGGGGTTACCAATAATAGATGTGAAACTGATCAGTTGGGTCAATATAACCAATAATTACCTCACCAAAAAATAGAACAAAAGTCACAGAAAGTACAATGGCCACATATTGATTGAAAATTCGATCCAGGTATATGGGAAGTGCCTGCAGGATGTAAAAGTGTTGTATAAAGTAGAACTATTATCAAGGTTTTGCTCAGTGAAATAAGCTGAGAAAGAACTTGGAGTGAATAAATTTATACATATTTGAATGAATAAATAAGGTTACTCGATTTTGGTTTTTCTGAAACTCAAAATTTTGAATTTTTCCAACAGGCAAAACTAGTAGTTTACATAGCTGCATTTTCTCCTCTTATATTCTTTCTGTTGAACCTAGTTTGACCATGCGACCAACAATTAAACCTATTTGTTTGAGTTTTGTTTCGCTAATGATAAGAGAGGCTTGAACAAGAAATATTTCCGACACTTGCTTTTCTAGCCTATATTGATGAGTGCACTGTTTTCTACAATAGCGTGTAAAGCATCCCTGATTTTAGAATCCAATTTTGATTACACCTTCATTTGGGAATCTATATTAGTTTTCAGCCATTATCTTCTCTATATATGGTGGCAAGGCAGACATAATTAATAAACTGGCAAAGCTCAATGACTACATAAGATATTTATGTGGTGTTTCATTAAGCTGATGTCCTATCTATACTCACTATATTCTGCAGAGTGTGTATTTGTTCTTTGTTTAATGCCATAACTTCCTGCAAATAATAATAACTAGTACAACACCCGTGTATTACACGGGTCTTACTAATTTTTTTTCTTAAAATCTAAAATTAATGAGAAATAGTAGTTTGAAAATTTAAATACCTTTTATAAGAATATATATATTATTATATATTTATTATGACACTTTTTATTTGTGCAACTTACTTGTGTTATATTATACTAATTTTTTTT